ATTCCATTCGATAATATGGCGAGCAACCCTCTTGATTTGACAGAGCGCAGCCAATTCCTCGTGCCGCGCGGGGGGTCCGAAAAGTTGGCGGCGCGGAGAGGGAGGGGAGGTATCGGCATCCGATGAGCTCGGCAATTCCACTCTGACAGCGAGTTTCTATTTTCTTTCCGCTTTGTCGAATTCCTCCATTTTCTTTCTTCTTCTTTTTAAGGAAATGCAACTGATATCACAGGTCCGGTTGCGCTCTTTTTGTGATTGTGTGTGTCACCGCTCGCCGGTGAGGGTCCGCGGTGATGGGCGGGATGACTCTCGCATGATGTCGGGCTGGAGGCTGGAGTCTGGAGTCTGGAGGCTGGAGGCTGCTGGGAGGCTGGAGGCTGCTGGAGGCTGGAGGCTGCTGGAGGCTGGAGGCTGCTGGGAGGCTGGAGGCTGCTGGAGGCTGGAGGCTGCTGGGAGGCTGGAGGCTGGAGGCTGCTGGGAGGCTGGAGGCTGCTGGAGGCTGGAGGCTGCTGGAGGCTGGAGGCTGCTGGAGGCTGGAGGCTGCTGGAGGCTGCTGGAGGCTGCTGGAGGCTGGAGGCTGCTGGAGGCTGGAGGCTGCTGGAGGCTGCTGGAGGCTGCTGGAGGCTGCTGGAGGAGGCTGGAGGAGGCTGGAGCTCACCGTAATGGGCGACATCGGCGACAAGGGGCCGTTCTGGCTGCGCGCCCCGCGCCCCGCAGCCCGCGCCCCGCAGCCCGCGCCCCAGCAAAGCCGCAAGGACACGGCGAGACACGGCAGACACGGCCCGCGGCTCGAGGGTGGGCAGGGCGAGCAGGACGAGCGCCCCTTTGTTTGGACCACAACAACTTGATCGACAGGAGGGAGCCGCGCAAAAAGCGAGAGCCCGCCGCCCGCCGCCGCCGGGCCGAAGGCAAGACGAAGGCTAGCCAAAGGCCGAAGGACCGGAGGGCCTAGGCTCGCCGTCAGCATCAGCAACCTCCAAATTATCCTGAGCGCCTTTTCAATTAATGGCTCATTATTTCCTTTTGTCTCCGAGGACGTCGGCGGGGCACTTCGCCGCGCTTCGCCCTCGGCGCAGGCGGAGGGGCACTTGTCCGCCTCCAGTAGGCCTCGCAGCGCCGCCCTACCACCCCGCCCCGCCGCCCCCGAGTGGCGAAGATAAGCGCCGAATAATTGTCCCGAAAACCCTGGCTGTGTTTTGGGTTCACTCGAGGTTCGTCCAAGGTTCCACCAAGGTTCGCCGAAGGCTCAAAATTCACCCAAGGTTTCACTCGAGGTTCGCTCTGTTTTGTTTTCCAAATGAAACGGCCGGTAATGACGTGGCCGGCTGCACGGCCTGCACGGCCTGCATCGCGTGACTGCCGCGCCGCCGCGTTTACGGCGTTTAACTGACACACCTCTAATCATCGCCGCCACCGCCATGACCGCCATGTCCTGCTCAAGGCTCGCGTGGGCTGGGGCCGGCAGGGCCGGCTGCACCACGGCATGGCGTGCCGCGTGCAGCTACCGGGGCAGAGCCCATGGAGAAGCCCCAGCGCCTACTACCTCCCACCTTGCGCCGCGCCCGCCGAATGGGTTGCCTACCCGGCCGGCGCTGGCGGCAGAGACGACGCACGCATCGTCGCCATCGTCTCCGCCGTGCCGCCACGCGCCGCCACGCGCCGCCACGCCGCCCACGCCGCCCACGCCTCCCCCGGGACCCGAGACGAGGCGGAGGAAGCCATCTGCCCCGTGGCACGTCGTGGCACGGTCTACTAGCCTTTATAGTGCGTTAATTCGTCGTTAAGAGTGTGGGCGACGACGCTGGCCCGCCGCTACTTACATAAATACGACATCTATCGACGTCATAAATGAAGTAATTGTAGCGTCGCCGTCGTCGCCCGTCACCGCGACGCCCCCATGCCGGCGTCGCGCGGCCCGCGCGGCCCGCCTCCACGCCGCGGGGGCGGGGCCGGCCGAGGGGGCGGCCGAGGGGGCGGCCGAGGGGGCGGCCCGGCCGCGGCATACCGCGCGTTCCCTGGCTTCTTTACTTCACGAACGTTAACCGAGCGAGCCCGCTTGAGACCGCGTGCCGCGTGCTGCGTGCAACGTGCACCGAGAGGCCGCCATTCCACTCGCGCGTGCCGAAGGCCCCAAGGACGGCCTGCAGGCCGGGGTGGGGGCGGCACGGCGGCACGGCGCACCATGCCGCGCTCATTCGCGATTTTGTAATGCCCGCCGCACCCCAACGCCCCACCCCACCCCACCCCACCCCCCGCGTTCGCGACACTGCCACACGCACGCGCCGAATAGGACAACGACGCGGTCCCCGGTGGGTCCTTGCCAGACCCTGCCAGCCCTTGGCGGGCCCGGGTGGCCGGGCGTGCGCTGCCGTGCGCGCGCCCCGCCCCGGGCCCCGGGCGGCCGTATAAGGAATTCCCTGAGCCGCCGTCCCGCCCCGTCCCGCCCCCGTCCCGTCCCCGTCCCGCGGCCTGGTCGCTGCAATTGCCTGCACGGCGCCTGCAAATGGCAAACCACCTATTCCGTCGTCGGAGTGACGACGGGCGTGGCGTGGCGCGGCACGCTATGGCTGCGCCGCGGCACGGCGGGGCGGCGCGGCGGGGCGCAGACCACTGGCAAACTTTCGGGCCGCTCCGGGCCGCTCCGATCCGCGCGCCGCCCGACTTTTCGCCTCTGCCAATCCGCTCCGATAACTCGGCGGTTTGCTTGGAGGATCCTCGTCTGCTCTCCTCGGCGGGCCTCAGCCACAGCCTTGGCTTCAGCCTTGGCTTCAGCCCCCCGCAGCCCCGCCTGCAGACTGATTCCGAGCGTCGTTTTCGTCGCTCTGTCTCTCTCGCATTCATGGGGCGTCCTAGATAGCTGCCAGAGAGACAGAGCGGCGAAAACGACTCTCGGAATCAGTCCGCAGAGCCCCGGCGCCACCAAGGACCCCGGCAAGGACGGCGGCGACGGCGCGCCGGCCGCGGGACCGACAGAGACAGGACAGGTCCGCCGAGTGACATACATACGCGACTGATTTATTGATCGCCGGACTGACATATCAACTTTACTGCCGCTCTACGGCTCTGGCCGCCGCAGCAGAGCTAGAGCCGAGCCAGCCAAGCCCATCCGCCCTGCTCGCGGCGTTTATCTCCGGGGGGAGGGGCGGGGGGGGGGAGGCAGCATTACGGAGGGCGTTCGGCCGGGGGAGTCGCGTACGCCTGCACTTTTATGGTGCAGTAATGCCTTCCTGTACATTTCGGCTGTCTGGAAATCGCCGAATTGGCAAATTCATGACGCTGTACATCACGGCGGATAACGGTTTTGATTGGTTCTCTTCTTTTCGTGAACACAGACAGCCGGCGGCACCCCGCCAGAGAGAGGGAGAAAGAGAGAAGGGTGAAACTGAACGGGGAAGAAACGGAAGAATAATAGTCGGAAAGAAATAAAGGAATAAAGCGCGAACACGCTGCGTTGGGGATTCGCGGACGACACGGGATTCTGTACTACTACACTGCGTATACGTACTATGAGTTGCAAAAGAATCGGACCCGGCCGGCCGGGCTCGGCGATACCCCGCGCCCAGGCTGGTGCTGAAGACGCGCGGACAGGTAGGAAGACGGTCGGTCGCCGGGCCGCCTTGTTGCCAAACTATAACTGCGAGTGCACAATAGCTTTATGAGTGAATGACACCTCGACCCGACCCCTGGTCTGGGCGCCGCAGAGCAGCCGAGCAGCTCTGCTCACCCGGCCGGGCGGGTGCGATTTTCACAAGTTCATTTTCGTGTAAAAATTACTAATTTTGACAACGCTACCAGAATGCATCTCGAGATGAGCTGATTATTTCATTATATAGTGTTCAATGAACTTTTTCTTACTTCATGAAAATAATCCTAGAAAATTTATTTTTATATGCATAGATCGGAAATTGAGTTTCCAACACATTGGTCAACATTTCAAACATGTCAAGCAACGCCCTGGAAAGTTTGCATTCTAGAATCAGCTGAGTCACCACCTGGCTATTGTTTCGAGGGCCTCTTTCACTCCGAGCTGCACCGCTGCGAGGGTGCTGACACGCAGATTTATTGCCCCTCGACCCAAAACAAAATTTTTCGAACAACCCAATTTTTGGTTTTGAATTGAGTGGAAATGGGTTCCTTGCAAAGTTGCGGGTCCAGTCATATGTTGAAATTTTGTTCTACGCCAATTTTAACCGAAATTTTAGGCCAAATCCGGTTGCCTCCAGCCCGCTCCGGGTTCCGGGCCCCGGCGGCCCAGGCCAGGCCTTTTGCACTCTGGTGCACGCTGGCCCCCTCCCCTCCCTCTCTCGGCACGTGCAGTTTATAGTTTGACAACAGCGCAGCCCTGCGTCGGTCCATCTGCCGAGAAGCCCGTCCGTCTTCGGCAGTCGTCTGGGCGCGGGGTAGCGCCGGGCCCGGCCGGCCGGGCTCGATTCTTTTGCAACTCATAGTACTACGTACTACGTACTGGGTCTACTGGGTGGTGGGGCAGCCGGGGGCGGCTTGGGCCCGATTGGCACGCGCAGTCCTCGGCACTCGGCGGTAGTACGCGAGGGGTGAATCAGCAGTGTACTCATGTGAACAAATTAGTCCGTACTCAGTGTACTCACAAGTTTAAAAGGAGCGAAAATCTCCAGTTTTTCGACAGATTTGGCGCCGACTTGGCGCGGTAAGAGATAGAAAAAATTTCGTCTATGGTGTCCTGTGCATAACTTTTGAATAGCCGTTCTCAAGAAATAGGAGTCTAAATCCAAAGTGTCAATAAATGTTTAGTTTGGGCACCCTGGCCAACACAGTAACACTTTTTGCACGGTAAGCTTGCTTTCGTTCTGGATTGAATGCGAGTACGCTGAAACACGTGAACTCGATAGATTTCCCAGCGCGTCTTTGTTTCTCGACTTATTGGACTGCATTCAACCGCGAAAATTACCGTTTCGAAATAGGATCCGTTTCCCGCTGAAAAAAGGACCAGAGTCGCCATCTGGCGGACCTAGTCCGAAGCTCCGCCGCTCCGCAGCAGCAACAACAACATCTCATCTCGCTCGACGACCACACCGCCGCATTGCCGCAACGATCACCGAAAATCGTTTATTTTGGACGGTGTCTGAGGAGTTGTCACCATTCAACGCTTTTGGCTTCCTTGCCCTCGCTAGATTTGACTGCAGCACATATTTTCCCTTTGTGAAAATGAAGCTTCTCACTCATAACGTGCTCAGTTCCAAGTGCTTGAAAGGTGTTTCTGTGGGGTACCCTTTGAGGTTAAACGTAAGTTGTCATTCACTTTTCGGCACGTGTATTTTGCCTTCCTGAACCATTTCAATGTCGCATGTTTGAACTCAAGCTCATTTTTGTTCTGTATGCCCTAAAATAGCCTATTTAGTGGTTTTAAGTGAAAACGGGCCTTGATCTCATCAAAAGCCTCTCAGCGAACATTTTCTGTAATTCTTTCATTAACTGTTCACTGTTCACTATTTTTCAGGCCACTGACATTAAGGTGGTAGATGTTGATTTCAACTCCGAATTTGTCTCAAGAATGATCCCAAAAATAAATTACAGCGCTCTCTACGAAGCAGCTCAAAGTGTAAGTTCATTTCTACGATCCATGACAGTGTCTTAAAAGTTTGCTACAAGAGATTAATTTTTCTTCATCTGTGTGTTTGACAGATTGGCCATCATAATGGTTTACCAGATGCTGTTGCTGATGACTATGAACACAATGATGATTTCCTTAAAGCTGTTCACCATGTCCTATTAGAAGTAAGTATAAATTCGATGTTTCTCTCTACCTGAAACCATTATTCTGTGTAGCAAGTTAAATGATTTATTTTCTGTTCCTGCAGGTTGACGTTGTCAGTGGTGATCTGGAATGCCCAGAATCTGGTAGGAAATTCCCCATCACTAGAGGAATTCCAAATATGCTGGTTAATGAAAATGAAGTTAATGAGATAAATAGCTCAAACGGATGCTAAGGTTCAAATTCCAATTTGTTACGGTTATTGCCCTTTGTTTTTGTTTATTTTTATTTTCCTGTTTGTGTAAACTAAGCTGCCACGTTTTGTTTCCCACTGTGACATCCTTTTTTGTATTTAAAGGGAGAATTATACCTTATTTTAGTGTCAAGTTAAGATTAGCAAAGAATTTTTCTATCCTTTTTAAGGAAATTTGTGTGCAAGAGTACCTTGTGTAAGAGGACAAAATGGGTGTTTTCTTTGTCATTTGTGTGATTAATGCTCTGCAAAAGTTTAGTATGAGCCTGCTTGAGTGAAAGGTGTACACAGAGCTCTAGCCCGTCAGCATGTGACACTAAAAGTGAATGTTTGTGTTTTTCATTGCTGCTTTTTGATTGACTCTTGATAATATCGCCTCTGATGTTGTTACATCTACCTCAGTGTGATTGTTAGCCTGCTCAAGCTCAAGTGGCTGTGCACATGTTGCAGAAAGCTGACAAAAGAATGAGAGAGGTAATAAAAGAAACAATTGACAGAAATTGACTGCAAAATTTTTATTTCTTTCTCAGGTTTCACTTGAACTGATAATAATGTGCAGTAATGGCAATAAGAAATACTTATTAAGTGATGCAAGTGAAAATATTGCCATACAGCACAAAAATAACATTTCAAATCCTCATATCTAGAAACTTTGTATCTATTATCACACACATTACATCACATTCAAACCAAATGATCAAAACAAATTTTTGAGCAACTCCATTCTTTTAGACATTAGATAGTCAACCAGTCAACAGTGGTGTGCTTCTTTCCTCCAAAAAATGATAACTTGTACTGCACCTACTATTATAATGGACGAAATTTAAGTATACAATCAAATATAATTAGTAACAATACTAAACTATGGAGAATAGACGTCTATTCTCCATGACTGAACCATTGTCTTGCACAATCTAAACTAAGATTGGTTATTTTTAAACCAATGCAACAGATGTAAGTGAGTAGTAAAAAGGTGCTTAAAAGGCCATAAAAATGTTATTAATTTTTAAAAAATGTATTGACAATAAAATTTAATGGATTTTGTTTTAAATCACAGTAGTTCATTGGACTAGATCAAGAAGTTTGATGGCTTTATGCTTCGTCACTAGACTCACTACATTACTAATTGAAATATGTGGCAAAAATTGGCTAAATTCACTAGACTGTAATAAACATTCAGGGACACACACACACAGATGACAATAACAACACAGTAGAGAGATAGACATTCATGTGTGAAGGGTGTGCACAGATATGAAGTTCACACAACATGCACAGTGTGGTCACCACAATGTGGTGTAAAGAAAAAATCTAATCAACCACATCTGATTACAATATGAAGATCCTAAATAATAGAACTACTATTTATGAAACTGATGGGGACAGACTAGAACAGCCAGAAAGAGAGATGAAATGAAATAGGCGGCTGGTTGCAGAGGTTTGAGATGAGTACTGCCATTTTCTACAAAGCCAAGAAATGTCAGCAATGTAAAAAACAAGGACTTTTCTACAACATGTGACTAATGCTGTCAATCCTTTGCACGGTAATTTCTTGAAGACAGTTAGGGCAAAAATTAAGTCATAAAACTAAAAATTTTTCCTTGGAACCAAAGTACTTAGTAAACACCTAGCTTTATTGGATGGACAGTTTTACATGCCTCACTTCAAAGACAAATTACATAGGAAATTAAGGCCAGACTTTTTATAAAATGTAGTAAAATACCCTTTTAATTGTCCCGAGCAAGTTGTTTCCCAGAGGTAGTAAAAAATATAGGTCGTGAGGGATTTCCTGGTCATCTGACCCTACTTTCCTCGAGACTCCACAGCCACTAGGGTTGTGGCTGCGTTACATGCCGCCAAATGAGAATATAGGCTTCCTTTGGCAAGTCCCTTTTGAGGGCCTTTGCAAGCTTCTCTGTTTGGACCCTTTGCACTGTAGCGATGAGCACGAAGTAAATTTTTGTTGGGACCGATTGCGGTAGTAAAAGAGCCTTTAGTTTGACGACTAGGTCCTGCCCATGTGACATAATCCTCTCTGCAACAAACAGATAAATTTACATGTATTTTCTCAACTGAGGTACTAAGTTAACTTCGATGAATTTGTGTTTCTGTAAATAGACTACTAACAACAGAAGTTCATCATTTGGTCCATGATGGAGGCTTGAGTTAGGGCCTGCCGCTCTCAGTCTATGAGCAGAGCGATATTCTTTGTCTTCGGTTGTGCTGGTTCCTCTCGAAACCCTACGCAAAAATAAAAGACAAAAAATCTTGCATTAATTTCAGGCATGTTTTAGTAGATGGTAATCTGAAAAGTCATGAATACAACTTACTTTTTCCCTTTTTTTCCCTTTGTCTTCTTAGCTGATGATGATTTAGGAGACTGAGAAGTCTCATTTGAAGAAGATTTATTGGGAGGGCAGTGAATGGTTGCACTTGTGGAAACTGTTTTACTGCTGGGGCCTTTGATTTCTACAGCAGATTCTTTCGTGTCAGTAGTCTTTTCAGAACTCACCACAACCTCTACGGTAGATTGCTCATTCCTACTGAGTTCATCCTCAGTTTCTCTAGCAATGGTTAGTTTATGAGCAGTGCCAGCTGCTATGTCTGCCTCGACAGTAGTTTTTGTTCCCATGGAGGATACTTCAGCATCATTAGATTTGTTGCTGCTTAGGTAAGAAAATAAAAAATAAGTATTGCTTTCATTAAACTTTCTTAAACAAGGACCAGGCGAGGGAAAAACCACCAACCTCTGAGGTCGTTGAGATGATGAAGCAGAGTTTGGCTGTGTAGATTTGGGAGTGACTTCATCTTTAATCATAATGTTCAGAATGTGACTAGCTCGGTTCTCATCATAATCAACACTGTCTAAAGCCATTGATATGAGCTGTTCTGCGAGGTCAGGGTGAACTTTCTTTAGCCTGTCACGCACTGAAATAATAATTTAAAATATAGTAAACAAACACAATTAGATAAGATAAGATCCAATACATGCATTTCTTTGAGGTAACAGTAACATACTGAGTTCAAATAGAAACACCACCGCACAAAAGGCAACTTACTTTCTTGTTTTTCAACCACACTCCTCAACCTTGCAGATGGTGTTGGTGTAGGTACAGCCTTTTCCTTTTTTTCATTCTTAGAACTTTTTTCTGTTTCTTTCCCTTTGGAGGATGGTGTGCCACCACATGAAGGTGTTGAATCTTTTTTGTCAAAGCCCATAGCTTGCAACTGATTTGTGGCTGCTGCGACATTGTTTTCCACATTGTATAGAGTATCCAGAATGATTGTTTCATCTGCTTTAGGGAACATACTCTTCATGTATCTGGAAAAAAACATTCATTAAGTTTAGTTTTCGTTAGGACCAAATGCAGTTGACTGACAAAGGCTCAAGGCCATCAAAACCTACATTAAGCACTAAGAATCACAATACTCCAAACACAGCATCATGGTAATAACTAAATAGTTCTAAAATAAGTAAGAAGATAGTAGTCTTTGGGAAAACAAAAATATATCATGCAAGGGCCAGTAAAATACCCTAAGAAAAAACGGAGCATATACAAAACACATGATACAGTAATACTAATTATAAAAGCCCATATTTCAGGATAGAAGAAGCTGCAAATCATCAACCAGTCCATTCTTATACACTCACTTCTTTCAAAAAGAGAGCACAGAATACTTGGATCAGGAGAAAGTACAAAATAAAATATTTAGGACTATAGAAAAAAACCATAGCAGCTATCTGTGAACACAGCAGGCAATTCTATGAAAAGAAATTTTAAAAATCAGGGAAAGAAACATTAAAGGATACTAAAAAAAAGGTCTACAACTGAATTAATGATGCACTTTTTTTACGAGAAAATATCATGCTAATAGATGTACTGCTTCTTATAGGCATATCTAAATCCTAAAAGAGAGAAATCAATGAAAGAAAACCTTAGTTTCATCTTAGGAGAAGAATGAGGCCTTGGAGAATGTCGAAATGCTGGTGAACCCATACAAGAGCTAGAGGCAAGACTTCCAGTCAGAGTTCCACCTGTACCATAACCATATGAGTACAAAGAAGGTGGAGGAGTGCTTGCAAAATCTCGGAGGCCAGGAGGTGGAGTAGAATGATAGTTAGGAGGAAGAACGGAAGGAGGAATGATGATATGGCGAGAGAGTGGAGGGGTGCTGAAGGGACCGGGAGTTGTAATCGGGTTCTTTTCAACCTGTAGAGCACTGATCACCACAGCCTCTCTGCTGTGATACCTGGAAGCAGTTTGGTGAAAGCATGATATGAAGTCAAATGGTGAACAAATGCTATACTGCTTCCCAAAACTTACTTGATAAGAAGGGCGCGAATGTGAGTTTCAGATACAGTTGGAAACATGGCTGATATTTTAGCAACAGAGTGCTCTGTGGCAACCGCAGTACTGAATGAGGTTTCATGAATTTTACTGCTGCTGTGATGTCCAATGGCATGTGAGCCCATTAATGGAGCAGTGTGTACCCGCCCAGGCACTGGACTTGGGCGGTAACTGGATATATCCTAGAAAATACCAAAAAGTGTGTCAAAACACAGAGAAAAGAGAAACAAAACTATTTTAAGTAATAATATTAAATTCAGGTAAACTATGCAGTAGTTCACATTCTGACAACTGATTGGGTCTCTAGAAAATGTGTGTAAACCAAAAATATTAGCTTATCATCAAAATGAGATTACATAGAAAAAGGGAAAGGAGACCTCACCTGTCTTAAAAGCTCTTGAATGTAGGGAGTGGGCAAATGGAAAGCAGGTTGGGGGTGGTATTGGGCAGAATGGGAGGGGTAAACACTGCGATGGTCAGGTGTTCCATGCAGTTGGGGCTGCGTCCAGTGTGGGGAAGAGTGCATCAGTAAAAATATCACTCACACACACACATGGCAGCTGAAAGAGGTCTGTATCCACTTTTCATTCATAATTTTAAGTGCTAGTGAGGGTATTGCAGCACATTTAGCATGCAGAGTGTAACCCATATCTCTAGAGTGAGAACCTCAAAAAAGTGAGAACCACCATAGTGGAACTATCAGCATGCAGAAATTCCAGCGCAATAACAACAGAACAGAAAAACTCCCACCACCAGTTAAAATGAAACACAACCTTGATGCAATTGATCTAAAGGCATCTGTTACCTGCATTGTGAAGATATCAGTGGTCGGTTCATTGTATGGGGGCGGCGCGTGTACAATGGAAGGGTTCACTCGTGGATCGTCCCAAGTGGTCGTCTTGTTGATAAAATTGATGAAGTAGCTGAAGCAGGGAGAAAAGCCTTTAACATAGATCCAAACAAACGTCAAAACGACACAACAAACCATGACAGGGGACGATGCATGGGTCGACATGCACGATGTGACCGCGGAGGGCTCATGTCAATATTTGCGGTGAATGGGGAACCACTTAAGATAAGTTGATACTCACTTTCTTCGCGTTCTCGGGTCATTTCGGCACTCCCAACCGTTTGGGAGAGGACCAAGAGCCGAATTTGGGTCCGCCATTGTTGTTGGTTCTGTTCGCGTCTTCTGCGTGGCTTGGCTTTCTGCTATCACGGCCTTCTGGATCTGCGTCTCCCCACGGCAGTCTGTCCAACCAACAGCGAGACGCACTTTAAAAGGGCCTTTTCCACCATCTCCACACTATCTACAACCAAAAAAAAGGAGCCAACGGTTGACAGAGTGTTTATGAGGACAGTTGGGTTGAGAGCAGAAAGCACCAACTCGATTAAAGAATTTCGGAAAATTATCTTTGGGTTGGCTGCTCTTCGTTGCGGCTAGAACGACCGCCCTTTTCAAACGGACTGGTGTGAAGCTCCAGAGCGTGGCCAAACAAGAAATGACAGCACATCCCTTTTATTTCCCAGGCTGTTCCCTTTCAAGATGGGGGAGCGGCAACTGTGGGTCATTGCGGCACAGAGCTGCACTGCACTCTCACACTGGAAGTGATGCGGCTGAAAGGGCAAGAGTTACGGGGCCGTATAAGACCGTTTCGCAGCCACCCTGTACTGCCCCCCCCCCCCCCGCCCCCGCGGCAGAAGTCGCACGCAATGGCCATGGCCATGGCCGGGTCGGGCCCAGCCGGGGCCGGCACTTGGGGCTGAAACCAGACTGCTGTTAGCCGTCCGCGCACGTCGCCCGCGGTCCAACCCGGCCGCCCCCGCCCCCGCCCCCTCCGCCTCCGCGCCACCGGGCCGAGTGATTCAGAAGATCGCTTTGTCGCTCTGTCTCTCTCGCACCCTTACGGAGTGCCCCATGAGTGCGAGAGAGACAGAGCGACGAAACGACTCTTCGGAATCGCTCGGCGGGGCGGAACGAAGAACGAAGCGCACACTCATGGCGCGGCTACGCGGCGGTCACGCGCCCGCAGTGCCTGGCAGTGCCCAGCGCCCCCTGCACTGTAAAAAATCAGTGGTAAATTTGTCTTCCCATTCCGGAGTAAATTTCTCCTCGTGGTCAGGGTATATGCTTCCGCCGATACATGTATGGAGACAAAGTGTTCACGTGTCCATCCGGGAAATTTGCATTGCCATTGAATAAGTAAATTTACTCTGTGGATAGGTAAGTTCTTATTCACGTTCATGATAGTAAAATCACTCATTCCATTACGCTGTGAATATCTGCGTTTGGATGTGCGAAACATCTTCCTCGATCCAAGGGGGTAAATTTACGCACGCGTGGACGCGGTGAATATCTGCGTTTGGATGTGTGAAATATCTTTCTCGATCCAGGGGGGTAAATTTACGCTCGTGTGGACGCGGTGAATTTCTGCGTTTGGATGAGTGAAACATCTTCCTCGATCCAAGGGGGCACGCGCGGACCAGGTTGGATAGGCTGGCGGCGGGCCGGTCTAGTACCGCGCCTCTCCCGACCTTCGCAGGCAGGCAAGCGTCGCGGCGCAATGAGATGCGGTGCGGAGTCCGGAGCGAGAGGATCATGGTTCGAGACGCGGGCCCATCACTTCAGACTAAATGGATTTCATCACGTGGGATGTACTCTGAGGTACAGTTGTTCTCTCCCATCACTCTCATGCATACCCTTGGCCTCGTGATCGTGTAAAATTTCAATTTTGCCCCCCGCGGACCCACCTAACATATTTTTCACACCAAAAGGACAAATTTACCCCCGGATCGAGAAAACATAATTCACACATCAAAAGGACAAATTTACCCCCGTGGATCGGCAAAGTCACATTTTCAAGTCATGATGCGCGAATTTGCTCTTACACAGTTTAGCATTTTTTCCCCAGTCATGTAGGGTTACTTTTACCCTCTAATGAGATGCGTGAATTCGCCAATCCATGGACTTAGGACAAGCGTTGCGCGGTCCAGATTTGTAAATTTACCCTCGAAATTTTTTACAGTGTGGCGGCCGCGGCGCGCAGCCCTTACAGTGTCGCCTCGCTCTCGCCCGCCCGGTTCGCCAAGTTCGGCCCCGCACCGAGCATTGCCTGATTTTCAGATTCCGCCCACGGCTCCTCTTTGACGCCATCGACCACCACATCGACGGCCATCGCCGGGCAGGGCCGCCGGACCGGCGCAGCAAGGGCAAGGGCGTTACCGAGCCGTTGACGTCACGCGCAGCCTCCACATCGTCCTGCCGCCAAACAATTAAAGCGTTATCCTCTTTTAGTGGAGGGCAAAGGAGTAAAAGCGATCAAAAGACCGCCATCAAATCACCTGGCCGACGCACTGGGCGTGGGACTTGGTCGACTTGGAAACGCGAAGCGCCTCGGCCTTTCATTGGGAGGTCCACGCCCTCCTCCAGGCTCGTTCCGGACTGGGGTTCCGCAGCACAGTGGGCCAGAAGGCCGGTGGAGCGGCCAAAATTCTAGACGCGTTTTGAGCTCCAGAGTCGCTAATTATGACTCGAATAGAACGTGTGACCCCACCAATGGATTGCTCTTCGAACGAGGAATCCATTGGTGGGGTCACGCGGTCGATTGGTGTCCCATTTAGCGACTCTGGAGCTCAAAACGCGTCTCGAATTTTGGCCGCTCCACCGGTCTTCTGGCCCACTGCGCCGCCTCTCTCGCACCCTTCGAGGGCACCCCATGAGTGCGAGCGAGAGACGGCTAGGAAACTGCTGTTCTTATCCAGCCGGCTGGTGGACTTCTCTTCAAGGGGCGAGCGGGTGCACAGTGGCGACAGTGGGCAGAAGACCGGTGGAGGCGGTCAAAATTTTGGACGCGGTTTGAGCCCTGCCCCAGAGTCGCTAAATAAGACTCGAACCGAACGTGTGACCCCACAGGCTATTGTTTCCCCCATGCAGACAGGAGAAAAGGCGCGCGCGCAGCTCTTGTGCGCTTCAAGAAGGGCACACGGTCTGTACGCCTCCTCATGAAAGGCACCGCTGTGCGCCTTAGTTTTACCAGTGTACGCAGGCAACGCAGGCAAGCCGGTGGCGTGGCGTGGCACAGCACTTCCTGTGACGTCGCTGCCGCCTTTCGGCGAAAACAGGAAACAATACTAATCCCATACTGGACACCGTGCACTAGGCGCACAACATATCCGTCCCAAGGATGCAGCAAATTAAATAATTGCCTCCTAGTTCGGAGTATTATGTGGGAATGCCGACCTTCTCACCGTGGTGGCGCGCCATGGCGGTTGCACGCCGTGCCACGCCGTGCCACGCCGTGCACGGCGGCGCCTCTTTGGCCTGGAGTCCGAGAGTCGCCGCTCTGTCTCTCTCGCGCCGTACGGGACGGCCCGTGGGTGCGAGAGAGACAGAGCAACGAAAACGACTCTGCAGCCTGGGGCTCGGCCTGGGGCCTGGGGCCTGGGGCCTGGGGCCTGGGGCCTGGGGCCTGGGGCCTGGGGCCTGGGGCCTGGGGCCTGGGGCCTGGGGCCTGGGGCCTGGGGCCTGGGGCCTGGGGCCTGGGGCCTGGGGCCTGGGGCCTGGGGCCTGGGGCCTGGGGCCTGGGGCCTGGGGCCTGGGGCCTGGGGGCCCGGGGCCTGGGGCCTGGGGCCTGGGGCCTGGGGCCTGGGGCCTGGGGCCTGGGGCCTGGGGCCTGGGGCCTGGGGCCTGGGGCCTGGGGCCTGGGGCCTGGGGCCTGGGGCCTGGGGCCTGGGGCCTGCGTGCTGCCGGCAAGTTCACGGACGAGGCGCGGCGCGGCACGGATGGCGGTCCGCGGCACCGCGCGGGGCACGCCGTCGGGCACACCGTCGAGCACGCCGTCGAGCACGCGCCCGGGAGGGTCGGGACTCCGGGACCGTCGAGACGACAGTGCGGCGCTGCCGGCCCAGCGGCGCATCGTCACGTCATCCTTCTGGAGACCAAGGAAGGCAAGGGCAAGGCCCCCGTCCTTCGCCGGGTAATGCTAATTGGCCCAAAAATGATCTTGTCCTTGCGCCTTTTCCTGAAGCCCGCGCGCCGCCGCCGGCAGGCGCGGTGACATCCAGCATTTCTGGCAATGTGTTTTGCGGTGACCGTCGTGCTGAACGAAATGGGTCACGTTTCAAAAGCAAGCGAAACGTCCCCGCTAGGAGCCTTTTTCATGGCAGTGTAATGGACCGGCCAGACTGTCTCATCCCCTCCCCCTCTTTTCCGCGCTCAATTTTATCCACTCCTGTATTCGATAAAGGGCCTTACTCCCTGGGGGCGGCTCGAGGCTCTAGGCGGGCAGGGCCGGGGCCAGGCCGGGCCGGGGCCGGGGATAGTCGCGCTGGCCGGCTCCGGTCGCCGGTGGAGTGGGGAGAGGGGGCGGGCAGGGCGGACGCCACACACATCCGCGTGCGTTTCGGACTCGCAGAAGGCTTACGGCTTGTCAATTCATACTTATGGTGGAAATAGTTTATCCTTGGCGGAGCGTCCGGGCGTCCGGCTCGGCGTCCGCCACCGGCCGCGGCCGTCCCATTCGGAACGTTAAAGATGTCCACTCCGGAGCGCGGCGCGGCGGCGCGGCCCGTCCAAGGCTGAGGCTGGCTTCGATTTGAGGGAGGGGTGGGGAAGGGGAAGGGCCGGGCAGGGCGGTGAGGCGAGGCGAGGCGGTCTCCGATTGGGCGATCGTCTATGACAAGGCAGAAGGCGGTTCCTGCTTCCCGGTCCGACCCTCGGCCGATGTAAAATTAATCAACACTATTGAACCACCACTTCCCTTCCCGACATTAATGGGACCGTCCAGTCGGAGAGCCTCGCGCGATCGCAAATCGATCAGCCGCGGGCTTTTCAAATCAGTTCTTTGTTTCCGTCGTGCACACCAATGCGCGGGCAAACTGCTATGAGAAATTCGAACTAAACTCACTAGATGCTTCTGCGGGAGGTGTGGCCAAAATTTCCGTCAGTTTTTCGGAACAGTTGGAGATTCTTATCGATATGGGATCCAATATCACTGCTTCGCCCCGATCGCCAACCAACCAAACACTTCCCCCTTTTTCTTGCACCTGGACTGTCTTTCTCGGTTCGAACCAAGAGGTTCACCACACACGGGGCCCCACCTCCAAACCAGACTCACTTTGACTATGAAAAGTTTGTCGCTCTAGCACGGCTAGCACGGCTAGCATGGCTGCCGGGCCGACTGCGGTGGTCATTGTAAATCTCGCAAGGCAAAGGCCGCACTTTTTATCCTCGAAAAGCGAACACGTAACCCCACTGGAAAATTAGTGGGTGTTTTTTTGGCCCCCCGAATGCGGGTCTGGCGGGTTTGGCTCGGGTTTGGCGGTCGGCGCGGTGAGTGCGTGTGACCACGGAGTCCGTGCGCGCCCATCCCATTGAGTTAGGTGGCCATATTAGCGGGGTTCGGTCCATTCAGTCCTCCGCTAGCGCAGCACAGTGCCTCAGCGGCCGAGCGGGCCGAGCCGCGTCGCTTCTGCCATTTTCGACCTGCGCGCCGTGGAGCCAGTGGAGTGCCCAGCCAGCCTCATTGGATTATCCATCGCCCTCGCCGCACACAGGGCCAGAAGATCGGTGGAGGCGGCCAAAATTTTAGACGCGTTTTGAGCTCCAGAGTCGCTAAATGGGACTCGAACCGACCCTGTCACCCCACCAATGGATTGCTCTCCGAACGAGGAATCCATTGGTGGGGTCACACGTTCGGTTCGAGTCCCATTTAGCGACCCTGGAGCTCAAAACGCGTCTAAAATTTTGGCCGCCTCCACCGATCTTCTGGGCTGGGCGGCCCAAACTGTGCCCCGTCCCTCCACCTCGCCGACAAGGGTCGCGTGGAAACCGCCCTGCACTCAGCTCTTCGGCCTCCGGAAACAAAAGTAAGTAGCGCTGCATCGTTCGGACTGTGTATCGCTCGGCGAACGTGTTCGGCCCAGGCCAGCCACTGTAAAATAACTACCCCCCCCCTCCATTTTGGTACGGAAAATGTCAAAAAGAGCTATGTACGAAAACGCGGGAAAAGTCAGGTGCGTTTCTACTTGACCAGACCGTACTGTTTGTTTGCTTGTCTATCTAATCAGTTTAGGCTAGCCGGTTGCCTCAATTTGGAACCGCTTGCTGCGCCGGTGGAAAGCTCTCAGTCTGGCTTTTGTTTCCGGGAGAGGAAGTACTGATGCGCCTCTCGAATATTCCGCATGTGAAAAAGCAGCAAAAAATTAGCTCCAATTAATAGTGTAGCGGCCGGCTTGGTAATTTGAAACCCGATGCCGAACTTTCTCACACTAAAACGATATGCATTTTGATAAGTGTCCAGTCAAGTCTTTTGGGGCGAGAGTAAGCCCACCGGAGCGCAACGACACGGGCGCAAAAACAAAAGTGAAGACCAAAACGACACCAAATGAACGATGGCAAAAGCCAAAATGCGGTAAAGTCCCGCAGCCACGCGAACGCGACTGTTGGCGCCCTTTTGTCTGCGAATAGTGGGCGCGCCTCCGCGACTGCCAATAGCTGCAATTACTTTATGGCAGTCCCGCGTCCCGGCCGGCCAATCACAGCGCGTCTCGCTGTCGCCGGGCCGCACTGGCCGCACTGCAGTCCAGTTTGTCCGGTTTCAGGTGGCGCTGTGCACGAGCAGCGCTAGTGATGCGCCGCGCCCGCCCCGCCCCGCCCTCGGAACACACCCACCTGGACACACCTCCTTCTTGCACAACCGCAGCCTTATCTCCCGCGTTTTACATACAGGTGAAGCTTCAAGGGCAAATCTCGTGTTAACGGCCAGGAATACATACATGAGAAACTTATAGCTGCTAATAACCGCGGCAGCTGCAGCCGCGGCTTTTCTGCGCGTCCACGCCGCGTCCACGCCGCGTCCGAGCGGATTCCGCGAGCGCATAAAAAGAAACAGTTTCCTCGCTACTGCGAAGTGTGCCGCCGTAGACCGACAAAGGGTGGCTGGCTTGGCACGGCTTGGCTCGGATGATCGAGGAGACGTCCGCAAGGCTGTGGAGGCCGCCGACTAGGCTGGCGGTAGGAGCGCCTGGCGGGTAGGCACGAGGGGTCGGCAACTTCCCTTGGCCGTGTACGAGGGAGTATACGTATATTACCAGTAATATAGGTAATATATGTGTAATATAAAGTAATACAAAGTAATTTATGGTAATATAGGGGTATTATAGAGGCCAAATTGTGGTAATATTCAAGTAATATATGGTAATATACGGGTAATATAGCCACCGCGTACGAAGTAATATATGAGTTGCCGACCCCTCGGGTAGGCAGTCCCGCAACACCGCCAGGCGTAGTATGGCCTACCCTCCGGGCGCCTGGCGGGTAGGCTGTCCCGCAACACCGCCAGGCGTAGCATGGCCTACCCTCCAGGCGCCTGGCGGGTAGGCTGTCCCGCAACACCGCCAGGCGTAGTATGGCCTACCCTCCATTACCATTACCATTAAGGGCTAGACCACACATGATCGTGCCATTTCGGGCCCGACACATGCCCGCCTGCACAGGCAACCGCGGGTAGGCAGTCCCGCAACACCGCCAAGCGTCGTATGGCCTACCCAGGCGCTTGTCCACATATTCGAACCCTAGCCCAGGGTCCAGTCCAGTGCGGTTCAGTGAGGGCTTAGGCTTCCCAAAGCCTCCGAAAGCGGTGAGGCGGCGCTCCACCTGCCCAGTGGTCTTCAACGCCACGACGACGGCGTGCACGGCGTTGCACCAGGGTCGCCTTTGGGTCGCCTTGAGGGATCCAATGTTTCCGCGTTTCTGGAATCCGCACTGGAGTGGCACTGGAGTGCGTCCCGCCCGTCCGCACGCTCTGCGTTGCCGCGCTCCCCGCCGTCCTTATAACAATGAAACAAGATTCTTCGCTTTTATCTGTATTCTTTCCCATTTGCCGCCGCGTGGCCGCGTGGCGCCGTGCAGCGCCACGAAGGCGCGCGATGATCAGCTGTCACCACCGGTCGCCGCGCCGCGCCGCGCCTAGCCACGCCCTGCCGGCCGGGCCGGGAGCACCGCGGCACCGCGAGCCTTAACGACCCACTCGCATAGTAATATCGAGAAGCGCGACGAGCCACGCCTCTCCTTGTTGCCAGGAGCAGACTGCAATCGCGGACCCGTGCGGCGCCTGGAGACAGCAGAGGCCCGCGCCCCGCCCCGCCCCGCCCCGCGCCACGCCCCGCGGCGTCGCCGGACCGGCCGAAACCGTTGCGACGCGCCCGATCGATCAGCTTGCAGTCGTGGGTCGTGGAGCATTCGAAATGGGAGTCGCGTGGATCGAGGAAATTCCCCCTGCCAGTATGTCGAGGGGTCCTATTCAAAAGATCTTATCTGCGCGTTCCCCCCAAGACAATCTTATCTTAAACGCATGCGGATTTCACCCAGTTTGACCAGTTGGGACACGTACGAGAGTAAGCTGAATATATTTTTACATGTACTTTTGGTTTCTTTGGTCTTTCATCTCCACATTTCAGTGAATTTTATCACAAATGATATTGATTTGTAGCTGTATTAAATGATCAAACTGAGTGAAATTCGCCTGCGTTTAAGATAAGATTGTCTTGGGGGGAACGCGCAGATAAGATCTTTTGAATAGGACCCCTCGATGTGTGCGAGCAGGCCCTCATCGTGGGAGCCCCCAGTGTCGAAAGGGTTGCCTACCTCAGCCTGCCTACCGGACAGAACCTCGGCTTCTCTGCCTGCAGTAGCCTAGCAGGCTGAGGTTGGCAGCCCTTTCGACACCAGCAGCGCATCGTGGGAATTTTCGCCTGGTTGTCCACTGTCGCCGCGAAATGACAAAATGCGTGTCTATTCTATTTCTGTCCCCGGCGCTGCGGCGCTGCGGCTTGCTGTGCGACCACCGCGTGGCGACGCCGAGGCGAGGCGCTAGGCGGCGAGGCGCGGCGAGGCTCGCGTGGAAACAAGAGCGGCGCAGCAGCGCGATGCGTGTCCAGACAGGCGCAGCCAGGCGACCCAGCGCTGCAGGCGCCCAGCCCGTTATGCAAATGTGCAAATAATGGATTTGGTGTTTCCAGGCGGCACTTCTTCTTGACGAGCTCTGTACACTTTTCCGCTCGGTCCAAGGCCCCGCGTCTCCACGGCCCCACGGCGCCACGGCCTCGAGTCCGAGACCTAAACGCGCGGTTGGCACGGCAGCGCAGTGCGACACGTGTGCGTCGTCGCGGAAGATCGCCTCCTGTTCCTACTCGCTCGATGAATCGCAAATTGGAAAATGGGCACCGATACCGGGCGTCGCGTTGCCGCCGCGGCCCGGCCACGGCCCGGCCGACCGCAGCGTCCCCTTTCACTCGGCCTGCAGCAGGCACTTGAGCGCCTGCTCCGGGAAGATGCCCCGGCCTCCGGGAAGGGGGCCGCAGATTGAGCGAGCTAACGACCGATCTGGCCTCCGCCGTCACCCACGGCATGCACAATGTAGGGCAGCGCGACGGAGACGGGCCGGCGCCGGTCAAGGGTCACGGGGGTCAGGGCGTCGGGGCGGATGAAGGCGTCCGGGACGCGCGCTCGCGCCGCCAATGGCTACCCGTTGCGGTCGCGGAGACGACGTCGTGGACGTTCTCGTGGACGTAGTGGTGGACGTCGTCGACGGAGTGGATGCAGTGCAGCGCTAACGATGGCTAATGCCCTTCCACGGCTGCCGTGGTTTTGTTTTGTTTTGCTTTCGTACAAGGCGCGTGGTGTCGACCGCGGAAACGTACAGCAGTCCGGCGGCCCGACCACCGCGACCACCGCGACCGCCGCGACCGCCACACCAGGAAAATGCCAAAAGTGTCAAGTACCTTCGCCGCCACCGAACGCGTCTCGACTCCAGCAGCGGCAGGCTCACGCCGTCGTCCTGCAGCCTGATTCGTCACAGTGACTCTCCGCCTCGTCTGCCTCGCACCCCCGCTGTTGCGGGAGACAAGACGATTTGGGGGAAGCGGCGTCGCGCGGCGCGCGGCATAACTGCTGACCCTAATAGAAAACCCTACCGCTACTGATCAGCCGCGGACCGCGGAAGCCGAACAGGGCGACAGCCGAGCCGAGTGACGGGCGGCCGGGCAGTCGCCTGGAGGAACGCTTAGAGTAAGGGTGTG